GTCTGGCGTTCCCGGCCCCCCCCCCCAATGGTATGGTCTGGTAGGGGTGGGGGGCGGGCTGGCGCCTGCGTTCAGGAACGAACAGACGGTACTACAGCTCCATGAAGCCCCAGTCACTCCCGAGTCCTTCTCGACGGCCTGCTGCGCTGTTTGCGATGCGAACTGCTCTGTTAACTCGGCCGAGGTATCCTGGCTGGGCCACACAGATAAGAAGCGACAGAACAGCAACAGTCACGTGTTGGGGTCTTAACATGTCTTGACACTGCTGCCACTGGTGCGTCTGCATTAGAGGGTAGGCCTACTCCAGAGTTTTGTCAATTGGAGGTCGGGCTCGGTCGGAAGGCAGAAGAGAAAGGAACCTCAATTGCTGCATCTCGCAGTTGTCGGATACATTCTCAGCACGAAGTGCCGATACGATTCCTGAATACCACCCTGCTGAGGAGTTGCGTGATTGGATTCATTCCGCAGGGGTGCGGGATGGCAGCCGAAATCGTATTGAAATCGTATCCCACCCGCATCAACCGTCGGACGAAAATAATCTTGTAACCATGGCAAAGTCACTTTCCAAATAACCTGCAGTTTACGAAGGTCACGCATCTTAAAGGTGGAAGTTTGAAGGGAGGCTCCAAGACAGCCGGGACCGCCGGTTTCGGAAATGAAGTGCTGTCCCACAGGTTCCAGTCAAGAAAACCAGCCCGGCTTCGATGGCAGATCTCAAAAACAATCCAACAACACCATACTGTCCGTTATTGCCTTGCTTTCTCCGAATCCCCAGCCCCTCTCGAGTGGCAGAGTGAAGAGTTGCAAGCATGCCTTCATCAACTTCCAAACCCCGTGAGACGCGCAATCTCAGATGAGACAACATGGAGATCCGAAGGGCCCTGCCCTGCATTGCACCTTGCCGCGTCTGCGGAGCACAGCCGCCTGGTTCCATTGCTGATCAGGTTCGTTCCGGCACAACCCCAAGACCAGCCCTCGAACCCCGCAGGCGATGCAACAGCATGGCAAGCCTTCGTTTTCAGCTCGCGTGCCTTTGCCTCAAGGTCCTGCGAGCAAGGCTAGGCGGCTCATCGAGTCGGAACAAAAAGCAGAACTTGGCATAATGTCGCTCTCTACCGGCCTTCGCCGCCTTGGATGCTTGCATGGAGGCCTGTCGGTCCAGGTTCGGCAGCGTCTCGGCGAGGTGGTTGTGAGCCTTCCAGCACGTACTGAGCTCTCGCAGACATACAGGCCGTCCTTCCATTCCAGCACCTGCAATACTCAATCCCTGTTGCAGTTCCCATCCCGGCCTCCAAGTACGGTTGCGCTGCTGCTCGAGCTGCCTGCCATGGCAAATGTGCTCGGATGGTCACGTTGATCTCCTGGGCTTGCGAATCCGCCCACCTCAGCGGCCTGAATTCGCCATGGCTTTGGGCCTTTCACATGGGCTGTAGCCAGCCTGCCAGATCAAACGAAGGAGGACTTGCTAAGGTTTCTAGTCACACCAGCCCCGCAGACTCTCGGGCCTGATGTCATTCTGCTTCATGAAATTCAACGCCTCTCCAGGCTACGATGTAACAGCTCTTCTGTTTCAACAACTCTCCCTCCAAATGCTAGATACCGAACGGGCCTTGTCGGCCTCCGTCATTGCATTGAGCCAAGTTTGATTGCGACCAGTCTCCAGTGCCTCTCCGTACTCGCCGTAAGGTAGGGCTGCTCAAATTGCTGCGTCAGAATTTCAGCAGCCAGCCTCCAAAGCCTTCCGAGCTGCGCGTGCCGCCTTCGCTGCCGATCCCTCGCGCTGCACGGATGCCGGGGATGCTGCAGCTGCTTGGTTTGGAGATGGATCACAGGTTTTCGGCGTTCTACACACAGACCAAGCGCTTCCTGTTCAGCTTCCCATAGACCTGAAGTGTGCCTCGAGCCCCGGAAGAAGGCACCAGACACGATGTATCTCCTGCCTCTGCATGCCAGGCTGCATCTCGTGCGCCGCTTGCCGCCTGTCACAGCTCTCCGGCGACTAGCCAGGCATGCAAAGGCATGCACATGCCACTTCGGAGGCTCACATCTGTACTTTGGATGGGGCATCCTATACACCATATATATATATATATATGTAACCATGACCACAAGACTATTGCGACGTCGCATTAGACTCGCAGCTTCAGACAGCTTTCCTGACTGCACACTAGCCAAACTTGGAGCTGCGATGTTGCAGCTGAGACACGACAAGAGGATCACTTTCTGGGTCCTTGTGCTCCATTCTGAAACTACGCAGACAAGCCCTGCTAGCACTAGAAGAAGGCACTGACACTGGCATGCCGTTGCTGCTTCACAAACCACACGGAACAAGCCAAGTGTCTGGAAGTTCCTCGGAGTCTTCGCCGTTCTGCGCATCCTGGACCAAGGCCACAGTCTGGAGACTACGTGAGATTGTTGGCCCCTGTCCAGCGTTCGGCCCTCCCACCCGCTCTGAGGGCGTGGTTACACAACAGGTCAGTCAATGCTTGTTCCACGCACTCCTTCACCCACCACCCTCCCTCCCAAAACCTTGCCCAGTAAAGAACCCCCACAAAGGCAGATAACGACAGCAGCTGTCCCTCTCGATATGCTCTAGGATACCACGAAAGCTACGACATCCCAGCCTCGGACTCGGTGGTGTTTGCCAGCATCTTCCTTGGCAGAGAACAGCTTCATGGATTTCTGAAAGCCCCACCCCAGTAACTCGCCAGGGCTCGGCGATGACTCTTTGGACTCTTCGGTCTCCACATCCTCCAGTGCAGAAGCAGCAGAGTAAGCTTGCTCAGGTGTACAGCCCTCCAGATACCACATCCAGTCAGCCTCGTCCGGAGTCTCGTCGCCCTCCTCTGCCAAAGCCACAACCGACTGATGCTCGTACAAGAACGCGGGATCCAAGGGATTACCATCTGCGTCAGTGACCTGCAGGCGCCCTATCGCCGACGTCGCTTGGATTGGACCGCTACGACTCTGCCTGCTTCGTCTCATCTGACGCCAATGCCAGACACTGTGAGTTCATCGCACTGGTCAAACCGGAGGGCGGTTTGCATTCCTGGGCGCAGAGCAAGCGCAGACATTTACTGAACAGCCTGGTTCAAAACCGACACTGCTTCTCGACGAATCGAGATGCATAGAAGCAGAACCGGGCGTAGTCCACAACCTCATCACGGGCAACGAGGCCGAGCACCTTAGAAAGATGAAGAGCTGATCCTTTGCCATGCCGCCACGCAATGAGCCCTACATGCAATGATCCCACGTGTGCCCATGGCCTCGTCACGCGGAGTGGTTTGGCACTGCTCAGCACAGACCTCACGGCTGTGCCCTTCCGCTGGCGCGCATTTCACGCCTGCAGCAGCAATCGTCTACCCGTGTCTTGTCTGAAGCTCATGTCGGGCTTCCTGCCTACCACACCTTGGCGCTCATCTGGGCGGCGCTGTGCCACGTTGCAGCCTAGGTTTTGTAGCACGTTGCCGGCTTCTTTCACTGTACGACCCACACCGGTCGGACAACCAACAGCATTCTGTGGGTACTCAATAGCAAAGCATCCCAAGAAGAACAACTCTCAATAATGGCAACAAGTAATTGCCCGTATCCTTACGCTTGTTGTTGCAACTACAGCAAGCACTGTAATGCCATAAGCAGTCATAACTATTGCCAATGTCATTACAGGGTTGCTGGTATTGCTTGCTTCCTGTTTCCCATGTGGGGTACTAGTCAAATTGCTTCTTGCATCTTCTTGCTGTCTCGCTATCCTGATCCAGTAGAAGCAGTGTTCAGCAAGATGCAGGCTCCCTTTCAGTATGGTTCTGATGCAAAAGCTCCCTCGCTTGAGCTCTCCCGATTTTGACGTTCTGCTCAGACTCAGCTTTGTGTTTGGGTATAGAAACGTCTAGGACAGCCGAGGGGTAGGCCTTGCAGAGAGGGGCTAGCACACACTGGGGGTAGGCCTAGGGGTTGGCCCAGGGTTGGGCCTAGGGCTAGGCTTAGGCCTCGGGTAAGGGTAGGTGTCGGGGTAGGCCTAGGGTCAGGCCTAGGGCCAGGCCTAGGGGGAAACCGTATTAGTAGTATCACTACTACTATTACTATGACCATTATAGCTACGAAAAATGTTACTATGACTACTATCACTCTTAATACTATTGCTAGTGTTTGTAGTCCTATTGTGGCTATTACTCTTATTACTGCTACCATTATGACTATTGTTCTTATTACCGTTACTATTACCAGTAATGCTATCACTAATATTACTATTACCATTTCGATTATAACCATTACTATGGGTACCAGTATTATCATTACTGTTACTAGTAGTAACTAGTGTTACTATTACTATTATTACTTCGCCACTGCAATAATAACAACAATAATAATACCAATAGTCGTAGTATTACTGTATCACTATTATTAGTATTACTGTTATTATTCCTACTACTATTATTTCTATCGCCATTATTACACATGCTACGATTACTATTACTACTACTATTACCATGACTATTACTACTGCTATGACTGTCACTATCACTATACAGCAAAGTAAGTCAAAAATGATTTGGAATTTGGAAGGTTGCAAATGGGGGGAGGCTGCCCCTCCCCCCCAGCCCCCTTTTTTGACTGCAAACTCCCCGCTCCCTTAAGCCGAGAAGAAATGAATGTAAAGGTCTTCTCCAACACACAGAAAGAAGCCACACAAAAATGCTTAGGGGGAAAATAGAATCAATCCTGAATGATTTTGCAAAGGGGAGTGGTGCGCCCCCCAACTTCCCCTTTTTTAGACTGCAAACTCTCGGTTTCGTAAGCGGCGAAGAAATGAATAGAAACGTCAGAACGAGAAACACACGAAAATTCAAAGCAAAGAAAAAGACAATCATTAGTGAAACCTCTCTTCCGACGAAGGCGAAAGCCAGACGCACCTGCTCTGGAAGTGAGAGAGCAAGAAAACAAAGTAAAAGGAAATGCGGAAGCAGCACGAAATCGCCTTATAACGGTAAAGGCAAGAAAATCAAAGTTCATCTTGGGGCTTGCCTCCACTGCAACAGTCCGCAGTTTTAGGTACTGCCGCCACGATCACTACTACTCTTCTGACCACTACTGTACTACGACAACCCGCCTTTCCAAACTGCAAACACGAAAACGCTTCAGGGGGGTTACAAGCAAAGAAAATGAAATTAATCATGAATGACTTGGAATTTGGAAGGTTTGCAAATGCGGGGGGCTGCGCCGCCCCAACCCCCCCACTTTTTTGACTGCAAACTCCCCGCTCCCTTAAGCCGAGAAGAAATGAATG